ATACTAGTTTCATCCTCAGCTACTAACCCAAAGGTTCACAGTTTGAATCTACCAGTCCCTCCCAGGAAAATGATGGGGCAGTCTGCTTCTGCTAGACTGTAGCCTTAGAGACCCTAGGGGGACGCCACAGGATAGCAGAATGGGTCTGATGGCAATGCGTCTGGATCCAAAGACTGCAGTATCCATTGCCCCAACATGGCTTCTTTATGTGGTCAGAGTATTTCTGGAATAGCATCGTTTCCCAACAAAGGAGAAACCTTGCAAAATACAGAGACTGGGCTAATGAGGACACTGTGTGCCTAGACGTCTACTAATCCCTTATTTCCTCTCACCCCCGGTCTACATGACATCCTTTAGCAAAGACATTATCTGAACACAAAGGAACACTGTTTTTTAATACAACCCCCCGCCCCATGGTGGAGATGCTATTTTGAAGGTTTTGCCATCTTTCAGATAGGTAAAACTGATGTTACTTCTTTCTCTTCATCCTGACCACCTTTACCCAGGACCAGACCTGTAAACATCTCTTCATGGGATCTATCCCCTTTCCTGGGTCTCTTTAGGCTAATTGGTATCCTGAGGCCAGAAAGATTTACAACTTTGGTCTCAGAGAGTTTGAACTATTGTTTTTATTCTTCCATGTCTTGTTCTACAGATTTATTTCTACCAGCCTTGGAGATTATTCATAATTCTGTTATCCATATAATATAGTAACTCCTATGTGATATCAGGGTGGCCCCCAGGGGGCACTGAAACATCAAATGTGCTATTTGATTGCTTAACCACAGATGGTTCAACTCAGGCCCCACTGGCTCTCAGGACCCCATCCCATGGCCTTCTTCCTGGCACACCAAACCAGTATCTAGTTCCCAACATTATAACATAACTGAGAACCTGATACTAGTATGGGTTAGGAAGGTTATTTATGAAGATTCTACAAGATTTTTTAAGACCATCTTGACATAAAATTTGTGTACCATACAACTCAGTGTTTTAAATGTTTTTAAAAGAGTTGTACAGTTGTCAACACAATCAATTTTAGATGACTCTTTTCATTCTTATGTCAGTCATTATTAGCTTCCCTTTCTCCCCAATCTCCCTGCTATAACCTTAAGGGTCTATTAGTCTAGTTCCTTTCTTTATAGGTTTATCTCTCCTGTATTTCATATAAAGAAAACCATACTTAAAAATAAATACACAAATAAAAACAACAACAAAATGCAGAAAACCTCAACTCAGCAGCAGAAAAGGAAACCTAGAACAAGTTATAAATAATTTGCATTTTAACCTAAGTATATCTTTTTAAAACATTTTTATTGGTGCCTAATCTACATATCATACAATTAGTTCAATCATTCAATCATATCAAGAAGAATTGTACAATCATTACCAAAATCAATTTTAGGGCATTCCCCCACCCCTCTCCCCCATGGTTAAATCACCTTTAAAAATGAGTAACCTTACTATACCTGTAGTAATCTACTTTCCAGTGCACTCTGTCTGAAGACAAGACTATTCTGATCCCTGGACATTGGTCCAAGGGAGTTCAATGGAAGCTTAATCAATGTGGGGACTCTGTGAATGGATTTTGGATTTTCACTGTCATCTATAGCCTTCTGCAAATGGTGCTCAGAATTTAAGTTCCAATACAATCCCCTGCTCTGGTTTTAGATGTAATTATTTACAATCTTTATATCACACAGGTTGTTGTGCTCCCTTCCTTGTGGGCTTAGCTGA